TAAAGGAGCTGAGAGTGAGAGGGGATCAGAATCTAAAGGAGCTGAGAACGAGAACGCAGTTGATAAAGGGAGAGGAACTCATGAAGTGAGTGAGGGGTTTGAGGGTGGGTGAGAGTGAGGACAAGGCTGTGTCAATAAGAAAGAAATAGGATTAATTGGATCAGTTTGAAAGAAGAGGCCAGGTGGCTGAAGGTTCTATGCCCTCTGATCCAGTTGACACTGGGGATTTGCACAGTAGGGAATCTTATCCTGCAACTTGCGTGAAAATGTTAGTAAACCCAATGACTTACCCCCATATTTTGCCCCATTCAATTATCGTGGATTATATTGAATAATTACAGCGGCAACTTGACAGCAAACCACTTCCCTGTTCTGTGCTTGTGTCATTGGAAAGTCAGTGTAAGAATAAAATAAGAAGTTCTTTTATGATATAGCACCTTTCACTGCTCCTGGATATCCCATAGTACCTAACAGCTAATTAAATAGCTGTTGAATTTTGTACCTAAAATGGCGCAGAGCTCTGTAATGCTGGACTTCTTATTTCTTTATTTTTCTAAGTCAGAAGTCATATGACACCAGGTTGAAGTCCAACAGGTTTATTTGAAATCACAACCTTTCAAAGTGCTTCTTCTTCATCACCTGATGAAGGAATCGTGCTCTGAAAGCTTGTGATTTCAAATAGACCTGTTGGACTATAACCTGGTGCCGTGTGATTTCTGACCTTGTCCACCCCAGTCCAACACGGGCACCTCCACATTATATTTCTAAATTATTCCTAAGAATCTGTACTTGGGTGCCTTTGTACCTAACTTGATGCTGTAAGTGGCAACTTTGTAAAATTTTTGCTGTACTCATGTGAATACATGTGGCAATAAACCTAATTCTAATTCTAAGATTTTTTGGAAAGTGTCATCTAGCTTGTGCACAAAAAGCTCCCATGATCAGAAAGCATGATCGTGATCAAATTAGTGATTTTGAGGACACTAGTGAGAACTTCCCTACTCTTCTTTGCAGTGGTAACAGGGAAGATAGGGCCTCAGTTTATAATCACATTCAAAAGATAACACTTCTAACAGTGCAGTCCTCCCTCAGTGCTGCCCTGAGGGAAGCAGCTTTGATTTTGTGCATAAGCCACGAGAGATAGAACTTGCTAATTGCTAACTAGGTCCTTGGTTATACCAAGAAAAATGATGTGTGATTTTAAATGGACTATTTGAGAGGGTGTAACAATATTGCTGCTGATTTCCTGATACTCGATTCTGAGCTGGCTTAGCAGGAAAGGATTTGTCAAAATGACTGTGCACTGTTTTGGTATGAGAAATATAAAATTATCCTCTCTGATGAGTATCTGGACCTATTACTCATTGTCACTGAGCAACAATGAAGCAGGTAAAATCAAATACAGGGTGGTTCTCTGTAAATTGCAATAGCCTTACGGAATGAGACGAGTTATTTAAATAACAGCGCAGAAATGATATCACAAATTTTAATGGCAGTTTATTAATAGTGCCAAATACAAATGAGGATGGATTAACAGACTAAAAAAAAGATTTGGAACAAACACATAATTTTACAAAGTGTTTCGTGATGGTGTGGAACCCAGTTCCTACAGGATTGGTAGAAATATGGACAACACATGATTTGGAAAGGAATTTAAATGGACATGAGAGAAATAAACTTGCAGGGTTAGGTGGATCACGAAGAGACTGATTGTACAGGAATGCTCACATGCTAGATAGATTGAAGGATATCTTTGTGCTGCAATGACAGGATCTATGAGTCTATTTTCAGATTGACAGATTGGAATGTCACAGTGACGCAAGACTTAGTAATGTAACCTTTGATATTTATAATTTTTATCTGAGTGTAAAGAAGTTTATTGATAATAACCACGAAAGTAAGCTGTTTTAAAAAGACAAAATAAATTACAAAGGTATAGTGACCAGCCAGCAGGAGGAGAATTATGGACTTCTTGACTTTGGTTAGAGAAATGGAACAGCAACAGTGTTTTTAAAAGATGAAAGACTATTAACTGTTGGAGGTTAGAAGGTATGGGAAACAAATGACAGAAAGATCATGTCTAAGTATAGATTGAGAGATGATCCCACTGGCATGTTTCTGTAATTTTTGCACAAGAACACCCAACATCCAATACCCACTGAATGCCAACAATTGCTAGCCCCTAACACTGTAAGAAATGTTAAAATGATTCAGTAAGAGCACGGCTCTCTCATTTGTGAAATGCAGGCTAACAAATAAGAAAAGGCAAAGCACATCAGAAGAGTCTTCAAAACGAGATCACAAATATGTCAGTCAAATAGCTTGCACCAATTAGACAGACAGACTCCGTAAAGGATAGCAAAGTCATTGGACAGATTCATCCCCCTGATTCTTCTATTGATTCACAGTCCTAGCCATCTTTCTGCTGCACTTTCTGCATCAAATGGGAAACAAACAGACTTTCCTTAATGCAACTGATGATACAACAGTCTAAAGATTCTGTTCTGGTAGTGATTCTTCATTGCTGTAAATCTAACCATTATTCATTACTAATCAACACACTATTTGACGAAGTTGTGATGGAATAGAAGGAGTGGCTGATGTTAAATAAGCTGTGGTACTTAATCAACTATTTGGCCTTGT